GGCCCCCCTGGCCCCCCTGGCCCCCCTGCCCGCCGTGCCCCGCTTGACCCATCTGTGCAGCGGCATCCAGCTCGCTGGTCGAGGGAGTGCGCGAGTGCGCTCTCCTCTCCCTCGTGCCCCCCGCATTCGGCACGCCCGGTTGCATGAACGCCGCCAAGGGTGCACCTCCCTGCACACTGTTTCCATTGGCACCCGCGCCCAGATGGCTGCCACCCACGCTCGCCGCTCGCCCGTAGTAGTGCTGCTGCTGCTGGCGGTGCATCGCCATGACGTGCGCCTGGTGCGCCAGCATGGGGTTCGCCATCATGGCCATGTAGTTGCGCATGTACTGCTCGTGCATCTCCGCCTGTCCCTGCTGCACGTTGAGCTGCGACAGTTGCTGCGCACTCAACTGGCCCTCTGCACCCCTCTCCGCAGGCGAGGCACTAGCAGGCCGCGCGACGGGACTCGCCATGGAGCTGCGCGACGAACTCGTCATCCCCGGCGACGCCGTGCGCAGCGCCGGCCACACGCCCGACGGACTCGTGGGTGACGGTAAGCCTTGGTCCGCACTCAGCGCGGGCGAACTCGTCCCCGGCTTGGCGGGCTGGACGCTCAGTGAGGCTGCACGCGCGGCTGCGTCGGGCGCGAGCTGCCCACCGCGCCCTTGGTCAGTGCTGCGTCGCACGCGTGGAGGCGCCATGACGCTTCCCCCCGCCACACCGTCAGCAGGAGCTTCCGCAGCGGCCGACACTGAACGCCGATGCTCGGGCCACGCAGGTGCCGGCGCATTCTCGATCTCGCCAATCACATCGATGAGCGTGCGTCTGCGCCCGTTTGCATCCACATGCTTGCCCAGCAAGCGCGCCGAGTCGAAGCCCTGTCCGCGCAGCCCATTCGCCGGCGACGGCCCGTCCTCCACCACGCCCCTATCGCCGCTGCCAGCGCCATTTTGCTGGTCGAGCGCCGAATTGGAGCCGCCAAACAGACCCGACAGCGTCCCGGCTGCAGCGACCCGCACGGCCGACAGCTGCTCCGTGTAGCTCAGCGGCGAGCCGGACGG